CTTCCTGGGTGGAACAGGAAGTGTGGTGCTCTTTGAACCCTTTGATTATCGTTTGGTAAAATAAATTTGACTTGTGATGGAGCAGCTGATGTTTGAAGAACTGCGTCACCCTCTCAGGTGAGGTTCACCTGCAGAACTGAAGGAGATGATGTGACTGGTGTGACAAGGCTTTTTAATTTTCTGGTTTTTGAACAGACGCCTGTGAAGATCACATTGTTCTGTTTCATCTGTGCCTCTTTTCTTTTGTTACAGCTGTTCAGGTTAACCTCACAGTCTGCCCTGTTTATTATTTATTTATTTATTTATTTATTTGTGTAGCTGTAATCAAACCTCGCACTCCTGCCAACAACAATAAAAAAGTCCACAGTTACTCATAAGTTTGGCTTTTATTACAGTAAAAGTAACTAATAAAGTCACACGATCATTAACTGGCCATGTATGTGAATTATGGAGTAAACCTCGTCATACACGACGAATAAATTCGTGTTCAGCTTCAGGGTCAGAAACACCTCTGTGACATCACTGAGTAATGTTCACAGCACATACCCGAGTGATTACCTCATCACCTGCTGATGATTACAGAATGAGTCGGATAATCAATACATTTGATCAGCAGCTCCTGAAAAATGATCCTCTGAACAGAACCTCTTTCTTCTTGTGCCCGGCGCCTGGTGGTGGATTATGGTTAACGGAGTCGAACATCACAGAAGAAACAACTTGATTTCTATCATGTGCCTCAGAGCTTCAAACCTCCCTGCACCTGTTAAACAGCGTTTGATTGGTCCATAGGCGCTACAGGTGCAACTGACAGGAAACCCAGGTGTGCTTCTCTGTGATCTCTGCTGCAGGATTTAGCAGAGCTGCCCACGCACCTGAGCCATCAGCAGGTCTGTGCTGTTACCTGATTAGAAGTACTTTCTTATGTTTCACACCTGAACATCGAAAGTGGAGGTTTAAGCTCTTTCAGATCAAAACCCGGCTGACACGCATTTATTTGACCAATCACGTCTCCAAACATCAGGTCTTATTGGTCTGATTCCTCTCAGGTTAATCATGCATCAAGATAATTTTCTTCTTCTATGATCACCTGGGGTCATAGATCATCTCAGAGAAAACGCACACATCTGTCCTGTCCAACGTGACAGCTCACAAAAACCCATTATCCCTTTAAATAATCGAAACACGTCGAACAGACTATCACTTTTCTTTTTTTATTGGAGATTTATGAATAATTTAAGAACTTAATTTATACATATTTAAATGTGAAATTCCAGAAAACAAAACGCACGACTCTTCTTCTACTACTCCCAACATGTCGTACTCTTCTTTGCTGCGCAGGCGGGAATCAGCCTCTCCTGTTGGCTGATCTGTGGTCAGCCTCGGTCACTGCATCACAGCCCTGTGATGCACACTCTGTTCTTCAAACTGACCTCAGATCTCTTCGCCTCCGCCGGCACAGAGCCCGCCCCCTGGCAGGTTAACACTCTCCGGCTTCCACCTCCGGTGTCGCGGGGCCGCCATCTTTGTAGCACATTAAACTTTTTTTTTTAAAAAAAATACCTGTTTGTGAAGGTTTTCTGAGCAGATAAGCGCACCTTTCCGGGTCCCATCCACGCCAGGAGGCGTACGATCGCGAGAACCTTGAGATAAGAAGGTAAAGCAGCTTTATTTTAACTTGTTCCAGCTTACATGCGCGCAGGCTAACGGCTAACATAGCTATAAGCTTTACAGAGGACCACACTTCCTTTGAACACTTTCAACATAAAATAGTGTACGGTCCAACTGTGGATTTCAGGTACACTTTTACCGTTAATCAGTAGTTTATTGGCTATTAATTAGCCGAGGGGAAAATACTATAAATTTACATTAGTTGTAATATGAATTTTACCTGCATTTTCGTCAAAAACGGACTATAGGCAGATATCTTCATGACAATAATGTCTGGTTTTCTTCACTTCCAAAGCCTGTTGGCTGAATGTTGTTATTGAGGGCTACCAAATGATTGAAATGCACTTTAAGATCTTTACTCAGAATTTTCAGGAAACATATTTAATTCACAAATACTAAATGGCATTAATCTGAACAATCCCTGTTAATAGTCCTAACGCTGACAGGAGTGCGATGATGACGGTTTACAGTTTTACAAAAACATTTAAATCACTGGACCGCTGTAAAGGCTCTTATTTTGAAGGTTACACCCTTACCATCCGGCCGCGTCTCGTTAACTTTTCTCCGTAAACAGACTCGCTAGAGTCGGACGGGCCAAGCTCTCTTAGTGTTCGGCATTCATGTTCTGGTGCGGTTCTAGTCTTGAAGTGTACGCCTGACTGCACCCATTCTTCCGTAGCACGGATCACAAAACAAGCACAAGCTCCCGCAGACGCCCACGGTGGGGCGGCTAGCATCGAGCCGCTAAGGTTAGCAGCGAGGAGTAGCGCGGCCCCACAAACCTGGAGCCGGTAAGTACTCCCTTCGTCGGCCGCCGCGGGACCACAGCCGCCCGCGTGCTCTGGCTCGCGTCCTCCGCACGAAGGTGGAATTGCGCGCGCCGGAGTCAACCTTTCCGCACGAGGCTCCGGTGAGCGGTATGACTGCGCGCGCTCCGACAACACCGACTAACCGGATGTGGAAGTAGTTTTTTCTCCGCGTGTAAAATAGGAAATTTCTGTGTGACTTCCCCCGGAAAACCAACAACTTAATATCAAACGGTTTCCTGTCGGTGTTGTTGTGACCGTGGCGGCGGTGCGGGTGGCGAAGAAGAGCACGGACAGGCTGTGCGGGGCGACGCAGCTCATGGCGGAATTTTTCTGCCCGTCGAGGCGCCTAAAATGGCTCCTCGGCCGCGGAGAGGAATCTCGTCCTTCTCTGCTGTTTCGCAATCACGAGAGCGGTGTGACTACCCGATTTCCATTATCGGACACGGCCTGGGGCACGTTCTGGTAAAATAAAAGCATTCGGTCGGGTGTGAGCCTCCACAACCCGCTCACAGCGGGCCTGGGGGGGTTCAGTCAGCCCCCTGGTGCACTTTAGCAGGTTTCTGTAGCCCTGCCGTGCTAAACCCTCAGCTACGGACCCGTTATCCGACACACACAGGTTTTTGTTCTTTGTGTCTTTTAAAGAGGAGCTAACCCACTGCACATGAGTAGATGTTAGCAAACACACTTTACATTTCTGCTCTTAAAACATAAGCGGGCAACTTCAACTTGAGCCTTACCGACGGAGCAGGCGCAGATGAACCATGTGTGTCCGATAATAGACACCTAACTGTTAGCTTCAGATAAGCGAGCTGGTACGTTTGAAGGAGTTGTTTAATCAGACAGGCTGAGAGAAGTTAAACAGTGTTTTTAAGAAATGTTGAATTAAAGGTTTTTGTTGGTCATAAACAACACCCTGCAAATAAAGGATGGACACTGCAGCTTTCATTGGCTGTTTGAGGATGCCTGAAGTTACTGATTGGGAGAATTGATCAGCTGTATCGATCCCTTTCTGCAGATGTCGCTGGTCGATTTGGGGAAGCGGCTGCTAGAGGCAGCCCGGAAAGGTCAGGATGACGAAGTTCGAAATTTGATGGCCAACGGGGCGCCGTTCACCACTGACTGGGTGAGACTCTGCTGCATGCTTTTTTTTTTTTTTTTTTTTTAAATAAGATAACCTTTATTAGTCCCACACGTGGGAAATTTGTTTTGTCACAGCAGGAAGTGGACAGTGCAAAAGTTATGAGGCAAAAATTAGAATACAATAAGAATAAATACAGTACACAACTGTACAGTTGTGTACTGTATATATAAATAAATATATATATAAATAGCACTAATAATGGGATGGGAACGTCAGCAGGCGGCACAGTGGTTAGCACTGTTGCCTCACAGCAAGAGTTCAGTTCCACCATCAGGCCGGGGTCTTTCTGTGTCGAGTTTGCGTGGGTTCTCTCCGGGTACTCCGGCGTCCTCCCACAGTCCAAAGACTTGTTAGCGGGTTAGGTTAAAGTTAGGTGTGAATGTGAGTGGTTGCCTGTGTCTATGTGTTAGCCCTGCAACAGAATGGCAACCTGTCCAGGGTGTACCCCGCCTCTCACCCTAAGACAGCTGGGATAGGCTCCAGCGCCCCTGAACAGGATACGCGGAAGTGAGTGGATGAAGGGTGGGACTTGAACCTTGAAAAAGAGTTGTTTCTGAGACTCTGAGATAGAAAGCTGCACCTGAGCTCACCTGTTCTGGCTCCTTCTCACTCACCTTCAGCTTGGGACGTCCCCGCTCCACCTGGCCGCTCAGCACGGCCATTACTCCACTGCCGACGTCCTGCTGAGGGCCGGTGTCAGCAGAGACGCCCGCACCAAAGTGGACCGCACCCCGCTGCATATGGCTGCCGCCGAGGGACACACGGTCATCGTGGAGCTGCTGGTCCGGGTAAGACGGCTTGTCTTCATTGGAAGGCTCTGTGTGCTCTAAGCGCTGTGATCTTTGACATATGTGGACCTCCCTTTTAGAACGGCGCTGACATCAACGCCAAAGACATGCTGAAGATGACGGCGCTGCACTGGGCAGCACAGCATGGGCACCACAGCGTGGCTGAAACGCTCATCAAGCACGGCGCTGACGTACACGCGCTCAGCAAATTCGACAAGACGCCATTCGACATCGCCATGGACATCCAGAACACGGAGCTGATGCTGCTGCTGCAGGTGAGTCGACAAGCAGAAGCAGAACATTGAGGTTTCAGTGTGACAGAAAGGTTACAGGTGTGCTCGCACTCTGCAGCGAGGTCGATAACAGAGACTTTCAGGCTGCCCGGAGATCAGGTGAGGCAGACATTTCGCCCGAGTTGTTTTGTGTAGGAATGTTTGTTGCCGGGAGGCTGTAATCAGAGCTGTCTGAGGAAAGGATCTTTAATGCTTCCTTTATTGCCTCCTTTAGCAGAGGAGACACTGGAGTGTTCTTTATGAAAGGGGAGCAGAAAACGCTATCCCATAATTCATAGCAGCAGACTGGAACAATGGATCAATGTTCATTATAACAACATTTTCCGTCTGGTGCAGTGAGCTGCTGAGAGTTTCTGTGCTGCAGTCACTGATAGAATTTATTTACAGCCGTTTCACGTCCGTGACACCGTCAGTCAGCTGAGAGCAGCTCGAGTGATGACAGCACTTGTGTTACTGTGCTTCAGTAGCACAAACACTCAGTCAATAATCCGACAGACTAACACACTTGTCTTTGTTTCACTTGTTGTTTACTGCAGAGAGGCGCTGTGTGTGCACACTGCTGTGAAAAATAAGCTGAGTTCAGTTTGTTGCTGCTGTGAAATCCTGCTTTAATGACAAGCTTTGCTGTAAACACACAGAGGTCTGAGCTAATTGTACCGTGACAGACGCGTGGCAGAGACGACCACATTTTCAGCACTTTTATTTCTGGTTGTCGTACCTCACACACGGCTGCAGCTTTTCAGTTGCTGTCTAACACACACCAACGACAACAACGGGACCCAGTGCACTCTGCTTTGAAGCTGTTGAGGTGCGGTTGCTGCTCGGGTGTGTCCGCGTCCCCCACAGCCGCGCCACACATGCACTTCTCAAAAGGTTAATTCTATTCATCTGGACCCTTCGTCATCATCCAGGTGACTTCTTCAGTCTCAGCTGACTGCAGGTTTCCAACCTTATAAACGGGACATTTGCACAATGACTAAAACTAGCCCCACTGAAGGAGCAATGGGCTGTCAGATCCTTGGGGTGGGCCAATTTTTGGGGTTTAAAAGCCACAGAGACGCGGTGTTTAGAAAAAATGTGTCTCAGCTGCTCCGATACGCCTGACATGTACGGGATCACTACAGGTTTTCGCTTGGGCGGCAGTTGTGCGTCAGCTTTTAGATGTCCCCCATTACTGATGGAAATCTCACAGTCTAAGAAGGCTAACCTGCCACTTTTCATATCCTCCCTGGTGAATTTGATGTGTCGGTCCACCGAGTTAATGTAATCCGTGAATTGTGGAACGTCCTGAGATTTGATTTTCACCCAGGTGTCATCCACATACCTGAACCAATGGCTTGGTGATGTTCCAGGGTAGGATAGCAAAGCCCTCTTCTCCACTTCTGAAACGGATGAAATGAAGACACAGTTCAAACACATGTAGTCGATGCTGAGAGTGGTCCTGTTGCTGAGGTTGGGGTTATCCTGTAATCTCTTACGAACTAGGGCTGGGCCATATTATACCGTTCACGGTAATACCGGTACAATGTTAGGCAATGATAACAAAATAAAATATTGTGATAGAATACGGGTAAAACATGCACGCGCAGTGCCTTTGTTTATAATACGCACATGGTGGAAAAAGCATGGCAGCAACAGAGAATGAGAAGGGGGAAAGCGGCTCGTTGAGTGAAACGGATGAACCAGAATTGGTTTGTAAAAATGCTGCAACTTCAGTGATGTGGAACTGGTTTGGTGTTGTCTGCCAGATACACAACAAGGCACTTTTTTTTTTTTTTTTTGTAGAACATGCAAGCGGGCGTCGTTATTGCCATATTTGTCGGACGGAGGTGCTCTTAAATCAGGGAGTAATCTGGGTCCAAACCTCCGTCAGCTTCAGGTCCCAAAGTCAAACGAACACTGCACCATCACTGAGAGTTAACCTCTTAAGCCTGAAGGGGGTTTCTGAGCTTCATGCTCGAAAATGCAATGCCCAAATTTAATTGGTTATTTCTCTGCAATTACAAACTCTGTGCTTACAATCTTGGTATCAAAATAAAGCTAACACTTGTGAGATTTCATCAGAGGTGTAACTATTGAAGCAGATATTACTGTGTCAAAGTTACTGAGACTGGAACACAGAAAAAGTAAGTAGATTTTATCCTTGCGTAATTCTTTTTAAAATTTTTAGCATATAACCCTTTTAAAAATATGCCTCAGATCACATTTGGTTCCAGAATTTCAAGTAACCAACTATAAATTATCTGTGCAAAGATTTATGTTTCTAAAGTGAAACAGTGAAAAATTACAGCCCTGGGTAAGCCAATCTCTGTCTTAGCGTATTTGCGCCGCTGTGTGTTTTTGTGGTTTTCTTTTGCGGTTCATTCAGTGAATTTTGGTCTGATCGTGGTGAAGCTTGGTGTGTGGAGTCAGTGATAGCCCTGGAAGCTAACCAGTCTATCTTTAGCCGGTTACATGAAGTCTGGAGAATTTCCGGTTCGGTTTTGTTTGTTTAGCAGTCTTCTGCGCATTTACATAACTGCTCGTTTAATCATGGCTTGTTTTCAATGTATTTGGTGGTTGTAGAAATGGTTTATATGACATTTTAGCTGAGATTCAGAGGTTTCTGTGGACACCACATGTCTGGACTTATATTTCTCACCCCGTGTTATAACCAATTAAACGTGATCTCCTCCTTTTTGCCCCCGGTACCAGGGGCATGGGGCTGAAGTGGTTGATAACTGTCTAAATTCTTTCATCCTTAATAAAATGATCAGCGTAGCTGTTTTACCAGGTGTAACTATGAAGTTTAACATCCAGGCATCCATGAAAACAGAATTTATTACATTATGTTATTACATTACATTTGCACTGTTAAATGTTTTTATAGCTTTAATGCACAAAAAAACAGCTGCTTTTTTAAGTGAAAACAAATGGATGGGTTTTTTGTTTTATTTTCAATTTGTCAGTTATATTGTTATCGCAAATTTTCAAATGTATATATCGTGATAAATATTTTTGGCCATATCGCCCTGCTCTATTACGAACTACCTCCAACACTTCAGTGACTGGGATGCAAGCGAAGAGAGGTGTAACATGGAATGAGACCATGGTTTCATCTGCCTCCATAATGACTCAACATGTCTGGATGTTCAGAGCTGCCGACCAACGGGCTTAGGATCGAAGCCAGAAACTCTGACATGCTATAGGTGACCAAGGTGATCATGCAATCACACGTTCTGATAACATCTCCCCTCATAACAGGAAATAGGAATCATAGCAGCCTGGATCCTAACCTATCCCAACCCCTTTACACCCACAGCCGGCAGAAGAAAAGGACATGGGGGGCGTTCCAAAAGTCTCTCCTGTGTCTTTGTACAGTGTTTACAGGAAGTGGGTGGGGTTACTTTGTATGATTGTAGGGTCTTTGCCTTTCAGTACAAAGCACCTGCGCACACCTGATGGCGCCAGAGTGAGGATAAATAAAATGCTACTAACAGAAGCCTCCTGATTGGTTGATTCTGCGGAGGTAGAAATGCAGAAAAAGGCACCTTTAAATTAATGAATGCTTCACTCTGTGTGTGTGTGTGTGTGTGTGTGTGTGTGTGTGTGTGGTGGGTGGTGTGGGTGTGTGGAGGGGCTGCGATCAGGTGAATATGAACCAGGTGAGCATGAATGTGGAGACGAGCAGCACCACCAACCAACCACAGTTCATCATCCAGGGCATACCTGCCATTCAGGGGGGCGTGGTCAACCTGGCCGAGCTGCTCAACAAGGCCAATGCAGGTGAGATGTGTGCGCACACACACACACACACAGAGCCCTTTTCCATCTCTACCTCTTTGGTCGGCACGTCACAGCTTGACACGGTGGTAGCACCTGGTCATTTTTCAGTACTTACTACACCGGGGTTTCCAAGCGATCCAAAAATGCAACCTCAGCAGATTTCTTGCCACCGAATGGCTGGTCAGTGGAAATACTCTGTGAGTCACGAGAGCACCTCCTTCACGCCATTTTTGAAATGCTGCACAAACAGTACCGCGGTCCCCGACACCGATGAGAAGCCGCAGACCGCATCGCTGTAACGACCCCCTTTTGTTTTTCAGGAGACTCTGAGGAAGCGATGGCTGCCAGCGCTCTTGACTCCAACATCCAGCACGCCACCGTCGTAAACGAAGGTGGTCAGAGGGTCATCACCATAGTAACCGACCAGCACGGAAACCTGCAGACAACAGGAGGGATGGCACAGCCGTTCTTCGTCACCATGCAGCATGGACAGCAGAGTATGATGCTGATGCCTTTGAACAGGAAGTGGCGGGAAGTCCTGAGGCCATTTACATCCTGATTTTTATTTTATCTTATCCAGTGCTTGCCGTGCCTGCCAACACTGTGACAGAGGAGGTGGTGACGGAGGAGCCGCAGCCCCCGCCCTCCAGGAAGAGGAAGCTGGAGGTGACCAACAACCACAACAACACGGGAGAGACGGTGAGCGCCGCCTCCACACTGTGATCAGTGACCTCTGAACGCCGCTCACAGTTTCAGCGAGCTGCGTTTTACAGTGTATAGAAAACAACACTGACCCCAGGCCTAACAAGATGTCACCCTGCCAATGACCCACTGTAGTCTTGAGGGACCATAAAGAGGTGTGTGTGTGTGTGTGTGTGTGTGTGTGTGTGTGTGTGTGTGAGAGATTTGTATAAACCTGCAGAGCTGTGTTCGCCTGAATGATGTGTGCCAGCTCCACTGTGTGTGGATCTAAAGTTGATTTCATCCAATGCTTTTATTTTGAATATGGCTCTGTAGCGCCGTTAACATGGCCGTGCCTCTTGGAACCACGCCACAAACCCAACAGGAAGTTAGACCGTTGTCGTTGCCCCGCTGTAATTGAATTGGATTTGAATCGGGGATCATTTGTGAGCCGGTGCTGTGGGTGGGTTCACAGTGTGGGTTAGTTTGGAGCGAAATTTCCCCAAAAGAGTTGCAAATGCGTACGGCGTGATCCTCGAGCGTGATGTCCAAACCTGAAGTCCAGTTTCATGAATCTGACAATTTCCTCTTTCGAAATCCCCTCAGTGCTACAAATGTCTGAAACCACACCAGCATTCAATACGTGTGCACACGTCACACCACATGGGTTTCTCTCCGTGGTTTGGGTGGGGTGCGCTGGTCTGTATGGTTTTGTGCTGATCGATGAGGATTATTTGTTTTCCTGCAGGAGCTGTTGCAGAGGCAGCTGCAGGAGGCCAACAGGAAGGCGCAGGAGTACCGACAGCAGCTGCTGAGGAAGGAGCAGGAGGCGGAGGAGTACCGCATCAAGCTGGAGGCCATGGCCCAGAGTCAGGCTGGCACCGCCACCGCAAACACGGCGGCTGCGCCACCAACGCTGCTGCCAGCCCCGAGGAGGTGGTGGGAGGAGAGGAGGATGAGGAGGAGGGATCTGGCGGCGTGGTGGAGGAGGAGGGCGAGATGGTGGTGCTGCAGGAGGGGGGCATCATCATGGAGGGAGAGGAGGGTCAAGTGACGCTGGTGGAGGCGGGGGGAGAGGCGACGGAGGTGAGCTCCTAACGGAGCGCAGCAGGCGGGATTTGCACGATGTACTCATGCCCACAAAAAGACCTGATCCTGGCGTGACACATGCTTCAACAGGGGGCGGAGTTCGGCTCAGCGCCATCCAGACTCCCCGGTTTAGAAACCTTTCACTTCTTTTTTTCAGCAGGGTCCAAAATGGCTGCCGCGTAGAGGACATTGATGACCCAAGGAGGAAGAGGGACCTTGTTTACCCTCAGCCATTTGTTCCCCGAATGCCGCTTTAACGTGTTTCCTCTGCCCGGCGCTGGCGGAGAGGAAGCTTCTTCAAATGTTCCTTCTATGGACTGATTCCTGCCACTCACACCCGCTTTACCCCCTTCACCATCCAGCGGAGGGTGCTGTGAAAGGAGCCGGTTTTCCAGGAATGCTCGGACTCTGCTGTGTTCTTCCGATGTGACCTTGTGTTCATGAGCTGCAGGAAGCGTTACTCTGTCTTCCTGTGACCTTTGACCTGAGCTGAACCAGCTCCATCATGGACTCTGTTCATTAATTATGATGTTGTTTCCAGGTGGTTTCTAAAGGGGCACGCTAAGGTCAGGTGACTATTGATGTCACTACTGAAGTCACATGACCAGCAGTGTGACGCTGCCCTGCTCCACCCTCCTCCACCTCACTCATCTACATAACCGTCCTTAAATTTGGTCTTTTAACTCCTCCCACTTTGGTTTGTGACACTTACATGTTTTGATTTTTACACCAACATCAGACTGGTCACATCACCTCAAGGTCACCGCCACAGCTGTCTCGTAAGCAAACAGCTGTTCTGTGTAAATGCTTCACCGTGAATAATGTGTTTCCTGTTAGAATCTTTCACTTCCTGTCAGGACAGGAAGTGCTAAACGCTAATTCATTCCAGGATACTCTAGACAGGAAATGGAAACCTTAATTGGCCTGCCAGGTGAAAAGTGTCAAGTATAGCTGAGCTTGCCTGATCCTGGACAGTGTGCCTCACCTGCACTGCTCCACCGCTCACTTTTTCATTTCAGAGATAGGCGATGTCACACCTGAGGCTGCAGGAGTGCTCCTCTGCGAGGCTCATGTCTGCCCAGCCTGCTCCCTTATAGAAGCCCACCTGAGAACACACCTGTCCTCCATCACCTGTATAACTTCAGCCATTTTTATACACTCAGTGACGTCGACTTTTTCAGTGTACATATAAATTTGTATTTTTGTAAACTGTACCTTAATGCTTCATGATGATGATGGCGGCTGCCTGTGTACCTGTGATCTCAGGTAAACGCTTCTTCCTTTCAATAAAAGCTTGTTTCATAAGCTAATAGCGAGGTGTTTACTGACCTTAAGGAAATGTCCTGTTTTAGTTTAGCTCCTGTCCTGTAGCTTACAGGCGAATGAACAACGCGTCCCTGATTCTGGATGAAGAACTGAGCTGGACACCGTGGCATCCAGGCTCTGATTTTTGCATTCAAGTGTTTTCTGCACAAACTTAATTGGTAACAGGGGTGATGAGTGCTGGGAGACTGACAAAGCAACAAGGGCCAGCTGCTGCTGTGATGGCAAAATGATTACAATGATGTTTAAGTTTTATATCCATGATGCATTTATTGAGCCAGCTGTAAAGTCAAGTTTAATTGTATTCATACTCTTGAAACTAGTGCAGCGCTTCCGTCCTGTAAATAATTATAGAGCGGTTCATTTTTTTTTATTAGAACTGCTTTATTTCACTCTGATCTTTCTTTAATTCAATGAAAGAAAAAGGAAGCTTTTGTGCGATTAAACTGCAACTCCCATGAAGCTTTGCAGTGCCGTCTGGGTTTCATGACAAACGACCTATCTGGTAGGACTAGACCTAATCAAGTCTGATTGATGTGCCCGCCGTCCAATCAGCGGTGGCTCAGGCGTGCACGTCCAACCCCCTGGGTTGGTGGGCGGGGCTCGCCGTATCATGGAGGATCAGTAGGCGAACGGCAGCCAGCAGAGGAAGGCAGGCACCGCTCCGACCCCGGGACGCCGTCAGCCGTTCACCGCCACAGCATGGACATGAAGAAGAGGATCACCCTGGAGCTGCGGAACCGGAACCCGGCGGAGGTGAGCCGTTCGGTCTTTGATGTGGCCCGCCAGGTGCGCCCGGGGTCCGGGTGCCCGCTCTCGGGCGTCCAGCTGACGGTCACGACGGGATGCGGAGCATCCTTCAGCTCTGGCCGTCCGAATAGCAGCGGGTTTATAGTCTTAATCCCAGCGGGTCCGGCGTGAGGAGGCAGGGTAACCCGCCTAGGGTGGACGGTGAGTCCCGGAACAGACCGCTCCTCGGAGCCTCCGGGACAGCGACACGGAGCTCGTTTCAGAGGCGGTACCGGGTCACAGAAGCGGATTAACCGCGGAAATGTTCTCTCCTGGCGGACCCTGCGGGCCGTAACTGTAACGAGAGTACCGGGTAACCGGTTTTAGCCTTGCAGATTAGGGCTGGATTACTGCTCGGGAATGTCCTAATCTCCGTTACAGCGAAGTACCGGAGTCCGTGCGCCCGTCGTATGGTGCCGCGTGCGCGCGCTTATGCGTTATATAAGCCGCAGCAGTTGAATAACACGCTCCGCCATTCGGGGGGGGGAGCAGATGGTGAGTGCCGCCCCCTCCCTACAGGAGCCGGGAGGGGGTGCGGGCGCGTTACATAAACAGGAAGCCAGCGAGAGTCAACGTCACTAACCCTGATCTCCGATCAGATTATTGATCCAGCTGACGGAGGCTGTGTGGACGATCAAACGTGACAAAAGGGCTAATTTACATGTAGATAACTACCTGCTCTGCACTCACCTGTTCAGCTGCATTGTCGAGCCATCTCTACTGGGTTTACCTTTATTTGCTCTGATTGGTTTTCCACACTCTCCGCCCACTCTGATTATAAGTGTGAGTGTTTACCTGTCCATCACGCCTGGCTCGCTCTGGCTCATGTTACAGCAGCCTTCTTAATCAATATGAGTTGCCAGGCAACCTGTAAGTATAATTAATAATTTGTACAGGCTCAGAATGACCTCGACTGTGGTCCTCGTGTTAACTCGGGCTTGACTTATAAACTGATAAATAAACAAATATCACATCTATCACGTTCTGTCTTCTGTACAGTCAGGTATAGGGTTCATCAATACTTCATGTTCAAACTGATTAATAAAACGCACACAGAGGCTTATGTCCCATCATGCTCTGCTCTGTCCTCAGATCGCAGAGCTGGTGCTGGACAACAGCCGCTCAGCAGACGGCGAGGTCGACGGTCTGACCGATGAGTTCACGGAGCTCGAGTTCCTCAGCATGGTCAACGTTGGTCTGACCTCGTTCGCCAAGCTGCCCTCGCTGCCCAAACTACGCAAGGTGAGCTCACCTGTCTGACCTCATCAACGGTGCATTCAAACATTTTCAGGGGGAAGAAGGAGATTGGGTTTGAGGTCAGAGAGCACCCTCTGCGGGTGGGAGAGATCTAACGAGCAGGGGGCCTTTGTGCTTTGACAGGTGTAACTGGCAGTATGAAGAACCAATGCCACCAAAATCAAAATCTGCTAAATTAATGTGTAAATGAAGGTGTAGTGGACCCACAAAGTGAAAAGGAAGAAATCCTAATTTTTTGTTTCACACATGGACTGTGGCGGATGGTTTTCCTGACATTCTTGTCTTTGCTCCCCCTCAGTTGGAACTGAGCGATAACAATTTGTCGGGTTCTCTTGAGATGCTGTCGGAGAAATGTCCAAACCTGACCTACCTGAACCTGAGTGGGAACAAGATCAAGGAGCTGAGCACCGTGGAGGCGCTGGTGAGGTTCTTGCGCTGCTCCAGCCATGCTCACAGAGGAAACGTTCTGAGGTTCTAACGTGTCGTTTCCTCCTGTAGCAACACCTGAAGAGCCTGCAGAGCCTTGACCTGTTTAACTGCGAGATCACGTCTCTGGAGGAGTACCGGGAGAGCGTGTTTGAGCTGCTGCCCCAGGTGACCTACCTGGACGGCTTCGACCAGGAGGACAACGAGGCACCCGACTCCGAGGCGGAGGACGAAGGTGAGACCCGCTCAGACGGAGCGCCGTCCTCCTCCTCGTCTCTGTTTCGTCATGCCCGTGTGCGTGTTTGCAGATGAGGATGGCGAGGACGGGGCGGGGCCAACTGGCGCGTACGATGAGGAGGAAGACGAGGACGAGGACGGCTCGGAGAGTGCAGAGGCGGGGCTGGGTTTCCAGGTGAACCGCGCCAACCAGGTGAGCAAATCCAGCTTCATCCTGCAGGTGGAGCCGCAGATGATCCTGGGGTCAGCAGACAATCCCAGGTCCTCCAGTCTGCATGACAAAGTGTCCTTGGCCAAGACCCTGAACCCCGAGTTTCCCCGCAGTGTGTGTGTGTGTGGTGTGTGTGTGTGTGTGTGTGTCCGACAGCCAAACCTTCTGTTGTCAGCCACGCCCCCCGTCACTGACAGTTTTGAGGATTAAAAGCACCAAAACAACTATTTGTCATTAACAAAAATTTTTCACCAAAAGCGACACTTTTGTATTTCTCCATTTGTAATGTAATCATTTCTTTGTATTTGTTTATCCTTCTTTTATGACGTATTTCATTTTGTTTTTATTTCCTACATTATTGTTTTTCATTATGTTCTATTACATCTGTTTTTGGAACTTTTGGTCCTCTGAACCTGACGACGAGTTAAATTTGTTTCCTCTGATAACGTGTTCGTTCACTTCCTGTCAGAGGCGTCCAGTCAGAAACGTAAATCTGCTTCTCTTCTTTCTGTGCTTCATCTCAGGATGACGATGAGGAAGACGAAGAGGAGGAGGATGGTGAGCATGTGTTTCAGTGTTGCAGCTGTATCTAGGCTCCAGGTGGGCGGGGCGTGCCCTGATTGGTCCGTTCTGTTTCTGCAGATGATGCGGCGGGCGTTCAGGGACAGAAGAGGAAGAGACAGGCGAACGATGAAGGCGAGGAGGATGACGATGATGATGATGTCTAATCTTGTAGCTGGCCGCCGTCTGTGTGGCGTCCTGTTCTCCTTGGCGGCGGCGTCCCCTGAGATAGTTTGCGTTTGTGAGTCAAGTGTTTAATTTTAGAGAATTTCTGAGAGATTTTGTCCGAACCCCACGCTTCCTGCTGAAGACGCCACGTTTCCCTCTTTTCCCCACCCCGAACTTTGAGCCGCGTTTGAACGCCTCGCTAGTTTGCTGAGCTTCCCGCGTCCTCAGTGGGTTTCAGCTCCTCTGGTCGCCGTTTTCTTTATTATTTCAGGGGCGGCGTTTCCTCCGAGGGGACTGAACGACCTCCCGATGGTTTGTCCTACACTTCCAACACAGCAGAAAGCCACTAGCTTCCAGCGTTAGCGTGTTAGAGCTACAGACAGATGAAAATTAGACCAATGAGTCCAAGCCCGCTTCGTCTGATCAGCCCGGCCCCACCTCGCTATCTGCTCGGGTTTTCGTTGGTGGTTTACTGCGAGCAGGAACTGCAGCCATCCGATAAACGCACTTTCACCTTCCCAGCAGCAGGGCGCGCTCTCCAAATCTCCTCATGACCTTCCTTTTATTGTTTTACTGTTTGACCTTTGACTTTCTCTGCCCTGAATCTATAACTAAATGTGATCAGCTCAGCGCCCAATTACAGCCAGTAGCTCTGAGAAACATGACAGTGAAACAGGAAGTGATTAGTTTAATAATAAAGCTGAGAACGTGAGGGGAGCGTTTGAGTTTTCACGATATCAGCTCCTCCATCAGAGTAAAAGCTGGAACATTCAGGAGCCAGTCAGGAAAAACGGGGCGGTGCTTCCGAAAATATCAGCTGATGTGAAATAAACTGAAATTGTGTGATTTGGATGTTTTATGATCGTTTTTAATGCATTTCAGAGGCTAAACGGCTTGAAGAAAGTTACACTAAACTCCTTCCATCTAAAATGAAAAATACACTTTATTTATTTATGTTAGTTTTTCCTCACCACAGTCGCTTTGAAGTGGTCGTTACTGTTGCTGTGTTAGCGCCCCCTGCTGCCTTTGAACTGGTGTGTTGTCATTCAACAGGTCAAAGTGTGTGACCTGCTGAGGTCAGGGTGAACTCACCACTTCTAAGGCAATACTGTAAATAGACTCAGTTTGGGGTTTTTGAAGTTTTTTATTTTGATGTATCTGCAGCGAGGTAACCCCATCTCTGACCTTTGAACCCTCACCCTGTCTGTAGGGTCAAGATGTTTTACTCTTTGTGGTGTTTGAGTTTTAAATAAAAGATTTTAAACAAGTAAAAGCAGAGTGTGGTGATGTGCTCAGGACAATGGGGAAAAAGCAGAGACGGAGCTCAGTACCCGAGTAAAAGTACTTTCCAGGAGGACAGGAAGTCAGGATGAAACCCTCCGACCTGCACGCCGGCGCTCCTCATCACAACAGGAAGTATCTGCAAAACCTGGGCTCAGGTGCTTATTTCCAAGAATACAAAGAACCAATCGCAGCGGCCGTCCGGTTGGTTATCACCTGTTCGATGACACTGCCCTCTGCATCGTTTGACAGGAATCGCATCGTTACCTGAAGGGTCAAAGGTCGCAGGGCTGGTTGGCTTCAGCAGCCTCGGTGAGTGTCTGGTTTCAGATCATTGTTTGTGCTTTATCGCTTGGTCAGAGCATCCTGAGAGCGTGTGAATGAAGTGAATATCAATCAGCTGTAAATAAAAAATGTCATTTACATTTTTTTAACTGAAAACAAACTCAATGTTATTGATCGCTGATCACATGTTTAAATAAAGTTTTTACAGGAGTGCGAAGCTAAAAAAGTAGACCTATCAATTAGGGGTGCAACGATATTCGTATAGATATTGAACCGTTCCATACAGTGCTTTCGGTTCGGTACGCATATGTATCGAACAATACAACATTTGTAATTTATTTTATCAACTTTCCTTCTGACGATGCTGTCTGTGTTGAGCGCTCAGTGAATCTGCGCTCGACAGTGCAGCCTAGGCGGAGTAGTCGAACACAGATTCACTGAGCGCTCAACACAGACAGCATCGTCAGAAGGAAGAGCGCAGGGCAAGCTAGCAAGACAGAAGTTAAGCTCTCCTTGCAACATGGACCTCCCCCACCCTCATTCAGATCTGGCGTTTGGAATTATTTTGGTTTTCATGTGGCGTATGACCCTGAAGGTAAGCGTGTCATGGACTAAAGTAAAACAGTATGTTGGATGTGCCATGCAATGCTCAATTACATGGGTGGGAACTAGTGTGTTAGCGCAGTTAGCTCGTTAACGTGTTGGCCGTCTAGCCCCATGCACGGGGCAATGGCGGTAGCTCGTTAACGGAGATTTGCCATGTTGTGGCGTTAAGGTCATTTCAACGAGATTAACCTGAAAGCACTAGTGGGAACACAACGAATATGACTGCACATTTACGCCGACATCATCCTAGTGCAAAGACAAAAACAACAAGCATGCTACTAACTTTAGCCGAGTCATTTAGACAGCTGTTAGCACGTGATTCTCCTTATGCTGCTGAGAATATAGCCCAGAAGAAGCGGATAGTATAGCTTTTATTTTGGAAAGAGACATTTCTCTGTAATAAACTCTCTTTTCCAAAGATGAGTGATTCCTCCATCAGATACAGGGCTCGCAAAATCGCTAGCCCGACATCCCGGTGCTAGCGATTTTTTCAGTCGGGCTACCAAAATCTATCTCTGCCCTGCCCGTCGGGCTATTGTAGGAAAAATATATGTCAATGCTTTTGCATTCTTTCAGAAATGTAGCTGGGTAATTATGTCATTGGCATCGGTGAGCCACTGTCAATATGTGACATTGAAATCGCGTTTGAATTTGCGCTTGTTTTTTTGCTTTCACTTTGCAATCGTGCAAACTGTGTACAGAGAGCGACAGCACTGATCTGTGAGTGATGATAATTTGTGCACCAATTCCTCTGACATCGTCTTATCAATCGTTAGCTTACTATGCAAACATGACAAGTGAAATCTCCCGCAGCTTAAACATGTGAGAGGTTGATCGCGCAGAGAATCGCTGAGCTTATGTGAGTACGTGTGTAAAAGCAGCAGGATATATATTTTAGTTCTGCTGAGCCAAATAAGACAGGTCGGGGTGAAGAAGTGACAGCCAAAGAAAAGCTTACCACAAAACGGAGAAGTTATGACAAATCAGACTATAAGGCAAAAAGAAAGTGCAGCTTTATGGTTTCATGGACAAAAGAATTTCTGTGGCTGCAATGTGACGAGCTAAATAACCAGGGCTACACATAAGTGGTCTGCAGGTGCGCATTCGCTGTCAAAATAAAAAACACGCAAAAAGGGTTAGGGTTAAATTTAAAAACTGTACTTTTGAGTTAAAATATATATTTATAATTTTAATAAATGACAAATTAAAAAGGCATGAAAATTTTTTTTGTATCGAAAAAATATCGAACCGTGACACCAAAGTATCGAACCGAACCGTGAATTTTGAGTATCGTTGCACCCCTACTATCAATGATTAATAACAGGAATTGTGTTTTTCCAGTGTTCACCGATCAGATTGAGCTTTTTCTTTTCTTTTTTTGTCCTGTGGAGGGTGCCAGTGTCCTGCTGCTGAGCCGTTCAACCACCAGCTTTCCTCCTCTTTATTAGTCAGCTGACAGCAAATCAGCAACTTTAAACACTAACACTTATTGATCCTTTTATTCAGTCAGGACGATAATCACAGGTAACAACAGTACTCTGGAGTGGGTGTGGCTTAATATACCTGCTGCCACTGAGTTGTCACTCAGTAAACTGTTTGCCACATCATGGTGGCCTGAAAAAGCCAGGAAGACAGGGTCGTGCCCTGAGCACACATAGATGTTTTATATGTTATTGATATTTTAACGATAAGTGATTCATCACATGACTGATTATTGATGACTTATTAAAAATGGATTGGGGCGATTCAGATGTATAAAGATGGGTGGGTGGGATTTCACATGCTGGCTTTTGAAGCCTTATGATGAGAATTTTATCCACCGCCATGCTTGCTCATTGGCTATCACGGCGCTTACAGACTGCTTAGACTTGACTGATCGATGGAATGATTGTGTGGCAGGGATTAGGATTAGGATTCAACTCTATTGTCATTACACATGTATAAATACAGGGTAACGAAATACAGTTTGCATCTAATCAGAAGTGCAAGAGTAGCAAGTGCAATAAGAGCAGAATACATACAGATAAGTTAAGTAGAGAGCAAATATAGAGATGTACTGATATAGACAGATAAGGGTAGTTTAAATGGTGGAATAGTTATGAACAGATGATGTACAGAAAGAGCAAATATACAGCTGAACTACAAACAAATGTACAGATATACAGATGATCTGTGCACCATACAGATGTTCTATATTGCTATACAGACGGGCAGATATACAGGTGTACTATGAACAAATATACAGATGTGCTACATATATACAGATGTAGCGGTGTGAGGTAAACAGATCTACAGAGTGTTATTTTCAGGTAAATTCTGAACATGTAACTTTTCTCAGCACAGCAGTAATACGCAGTACAGCTGTCTGTTAACTGTGCTACATTTGTATACCATCAGCTTCTTTGTTACTCAAATAAGGAAACACGTTAGAAACAGCTGTTTACCGTCACTGCCGCCATCTTGGAATGTTAAGCCGGGGTTGGAGGGGAAAGCTGAGGTGGTGTTGTTAATCTGGAACGCACCATCAGTCTGACTCGCAGCAAGAGTGTCATTCAGCTGTGTGTGTGTGTGTGTGTGTGTGTGTGTGTGTGTGTGTGTGTGTGTGTGTGTGTGTGTGTGTGTGTGTGTGTGTGTGGTCTTCTCGTGTTTCTGCTTCTTTGAAATCTTTAAACTCTCTGAACTAAAAGCTTTTGGTTGTCATGATATTTTAAAGATGCGCACAAACACACACACAAACAGTAAACAGGCAGTATTTTTAGTTCTGTTGCTAAGAGGGGTGCCTCCTCCTCCGCGTGAGGAAGTCAGCCTGACAGTCGCTGTGTGGGACAGGTGATGACCTGGGGAGAAGGCGGAGTCTCAGGTTTGTTTCTGACCTGCTGCAGACTGTTGGAATCACCTTTACACAGACTGTAGACAAAGATGGAGGTCAAGTAGGAAGCTTCTTGATCGCCCCCAGGTTGCTTGCTGTGACTTTGGTTTTAAGCCACGCCCCCTCACTCTGCTTGTTTATATTTGTGTGATTGCTTCATTGATTGATGAATCTGAGCAACCCAGGAGTTAAGTTAGCCACTTCCACTCCGTGCAGCTTCCACTGGGCTGGCAGGCCAGCAGCTAACCTGAATGCCAGTCTTTGTCCACATTGATTTACATCGAAGTAGTGACTAGAGCTCTTTCTCCTCACAGGAAGTGACCGTCAGCAACAGGAAGTGTTGGACCCGAAATAAACACAACATCCAGATGATCCAATGAGACTGAAGAAAACCCAGAAGTGGCATACGACCTGGTACTAAATACATTAGAGGGTTCCCCAGGCAACCAGAGCGTGGAGTGTCCACCAGCAACCAATCGTCAGCTGCAAAGCAGAATATGACGAGTATGACCAGCAGCTTCAGAGGCCATGCCCTTGATAATGCACACTTCAATCCAGGTGAGTCATAGTTCAGGTCTGATCAGGCTGTAAACATGTTTGTTGAACATGAAGAAGAAACACCCAGTGCATCATGGGAATCCCCGGCAGCCTACGTCTATTGCAGCATAACTAAGGGAGGATCCAGGGTCACCTGGTCCAGCCCTAACTATACCATACCATACCACCTTTATTTATAAAGCGCTTTAACATAAAACCAGAGTTCACAAAGTGCTGTACATGCTAATAGCATAAGTAAAGAAAATTAAAATGAGATAAGATAAAATAAATAACTAAAAAACTAAAATAAATTGAAACATGTTAAAACAAATTGAGTCAACCCCTCTAATCAATGCCAAAGGCTTCAGCGAATAAATATGTTTTAAGAAGACTTTTAAATTCAGAGAGAGAAGAGGCCTGCCTTACATGCAAGGGTAGATCATTCCACAACTTTGGAGCAACTACAGCAAAAGCACGATCACCTTTAGTTTTATACTTAGTTTTCGGTACCTTAAGGAGCTGCTGATTGGCGGGCCTAAGGGAACGGGCAGGTTTATATGGTTGTAGTAGCTCCGAGAGGTAGGGGGGGGGCAGGACATTAAGAGATTTAAAAGCAAATAAGAGAATTTTAAAAACAATCCTAAAATGTACAGGTAGCCAGTGGAGTGAAATTAAAATTGGGGTAATGTGCTCAA